AAGAAACTTGGAGTGTTATCCTCTCCATGACAGACCTATTTGTTTTCTTGGCAGTCCATAGTATGTTCAATACTCTTCTCCAGCACCACAGCTCAAAGACAGTCATTCTTCTCCTGTCATCCTTAGTCATTGTCCAGCTCTCTGATACATAGCAAGTAATTGCAAAGACCATGGCCTGAATCAGGTCCACCTTAGTCTCTAGACTCACATCCCTGCTTCTCAGTACTCTGGAGAAGTCTCTGACAGCAGATTTTCCAGGTACAATTCATCTTTTGATTTCCTAACTGCTGGTGCCAAGAGTGTTGACTGTGGAGCCGAGCAAGCGATAATTGTTAACAACCTCAATCTCTTCCCCATCTTTTGTGGTGCTGCCAATTGGCCCAGTGGCAAGAATCTCTATCTTCCTGATGTTGAGCTTCAATCTATATTGAAGACTACAGTCTTTGACCTTCTGCAGCAAACACTTCAGGTCTGCCTCAGCAAGCAAGGTTGTGTCATCTGCATAATGTAAGTTGTTGATGAGTCTTCCTCCAATCCTGATGTCACATTCCTTCTCATAAAGCCCAGTCTCCCAGATAATCTGTTCAGCATATAGACTGAAAAGGTATGGAGACAGGACACATCCCTGACACACTCCTTTCCTGACTTTGAACCATGAAGTGTTTCCTTGCTCTGTTCTCAGGACTGCTTCCCGGTCTGAGTATAGGTTTCCCATGAGGAGAGTCAAGTGTCCGGGAGAGGGGTTAAGATTTACAACATATCCTTTATAACAGGTGGTAATATAATGTATTTATAAGTGGCAAAGAAATGATTCAAACCCAGCTCTTTTTCTAAGGTCCTTCAGCTCCAATATCCAATGGCTATAACATTTGCTGCACAAGATCAAAGACTAGGTAGCCTTCAGTATGGATTACATCTCAACACTAAGAAAACAGAAATCTTTACCAATATATCAATAGGAAACATCATGATAGATGGAGAAATGATTGATGCTATCAATGACTTCATTTTACTTGGATCTACAATCAATGACCGGGGTAATAGCAGTCAAGAAATCAGAAGACGTGGTGCGTTGGGTAAATCTGTTTGTCAAGGACCTCACCAAGACGTTGAGGAGCAAGGATGCCAGTTTAAAGACTGAGGTGCATCTGATCCAAGCACCTTTTCAATTGCTTGTTTTGTATGTGAAAGTTGGACAGTAAATAAGGATGACAGGAGGAGGAGTGGAACTGAAAATTTCATGCGCTGTCAAAAGACCAAATACAGTCTCTTTCCAGGCAGCGTGGTGCGATGGGCATCTCCTGGGACAACTGGCACAAGCACCACAAGACCAAGGGCAAGAGAAAGCCCTCCCACAAGAAGTAGAAGTATGAGCTGGGACGCCCGGCTGCCAACACTAAGATTGGCCCCCGCCGTATACACACAGTTCGTGTGAGAGGAGGCAACAAAAAGTACCCTAAGACTGGATGTGGGGAACTTCTTGGGGGGCTCTGAATGTTGTCCTCCCAAAACAAGGATAATTGATGTTGTCTACTACGCCTCCAATAATGAACTGGTCCGAACCAAGATCCTCGTGAAGAACTGCATCGTGCTCACTGACAGCACACTGTACCGCCAGGGGTATGAGTCCCACTATGCACAAGAAAGGGGCTAAGCTGAGTTCTGAGGAGGAAGAGATTGTAAACAAAAAGCGATCAAAGAAAATTCAGAAAAAATATGATGAGAGGAAAAAGAATGCAAAAATCAGCAGTCTTCTAGAGGAGCAGTTTCCACAGGGCAAGCTTCTTACATGTATCGCTTCCCAGCCAGGCCAGTGTGGTTGTGCAGAAGGTTATGTGCTAGAGGGAGAGCGGCTGGGATTCTCTCTGAGGAAGATCAAGGCTTGGAAAGGCAAATAATCTCCTCCCTCCCATTTTAGCACATGTGTTTATTCTAAAAAAAAAAGACCAAATACATCTTGGAGAGAGTGCTCCATGGAAGCAAGGATCGTGAGGCTTCATCTCACATATTTTGGGCATGTTGGTAGAAGTGGCTGGTCCCTGGAAAAGGACATTGTGCTTGAAAAGGTGGAGGGTCAGTGAAAGGGATGAAGACCTTCAATGAAATGGAATGACACCGTGACCCTCTCAATGGGCTCAAGGGTATCAGAAATCATGAGGAAGACGCAGGACAGGGCGAGGCTCGGGTCTTGTTCACAGGGTTGCCCTGAGTCATATCTGACTGGATGATGCTTAATAACAACAACAATTGCATCAAGAGACAGAGTTGGTTCAGTAGAAATGAATGAAAAATGTACTAAGTCCACCAGGTCCTGAGCTACTTCCAGGTGCTGAAAGTAGAAAGGACTCAGACAGAATCCCAAGCGCTAGGCCTTCTCCTTATCAATTCCCTCTATCTAGGTCCTTCTAATTTACAGTCTACCTTTCACATGCATCTGGGACGCCTGAGAACACCAGGTGCACCTTTGTCCTCAATGTGACATCTTTGTTTTTAGCATTTCAAAGAGGTCTGCTTCATCGCGTTGGGCCAATGCAGTATGTCATTTGAGTGCCTGACTGGTACACCCATGGGTATTGATTATGGATCCAAGTAAAGTGAAATCTTTGACCACCCCAATACAGGCTGCACAGTTGCCATGTTCTCCTTCATCTTACAATCCAGCCCTGTCTGTCTTGACTGTCCCTCCCAGACCTCCTCCAGCCTTCAGTCGCTACTCCACCTTCTCTCCTCTTTGCAGGAGGACAGCTACCACAGGTGGGTTCTTTTTCATCTCTGTCCTTTTCTTTCCATTATCTCTGTCCTCTGCAATCAGGTACACTGGACTCCCTGTCAAGTGGCTCAGGCTGTGGCCTTCATTGGCCACCTCAAGTTCGCACTGAGCCAGCTTTCCAGACGTCTCAGATCCGGATTTCTCTTGACTTCAAGCCCACCTCACTACCTGTTCCTTCTCCATTTTAAAGGCCACCTGGGCCTTTCCCCTGTGGAACCACTAAACTTAAATAGCCTGAACTGGGTCCCCATCGGCCTCTACCCACAATGCTCCACCTCAATTAAGGGCAACTGCATCTTTCTGGTTGCATAGGCCACGTACCTTGGCGTCATCCTTGACTGGCTCTTTCTAGTACCTCCTTTACAATCTATCCTGCCACTTTCACAGCCTCCTTGTCTCAAGCTACACTTTCTTCTAATGATTAAATTATTGTGATACCACAATTCTTACTTTTGCTTATTACAGATCAGCCTCAAAAAGGCAACTTGGTGGTTTGACCAGGTCCTCTCTGCTCCCAATTTCCACTCGGAGGAAAGATCAGTCCTTACACTGGCCAAGACCCTGCCCAGGCTGCCTGTCACCCTCATTAACTTGGACCCCACCTTCAACTGTTTTCCTCTCTTCATAGACCTCACAAGTCTTCACGCGTCCCGTCACCTCTGCTTTGAACTCTCTTCCCAAAGATCCCAAGATCACTCAAGACCCCATCACGCATTTGCTCAAACTTTGCTGCTCCTTAGAGAGTCTGAACCTAGCCACCTCTTTAAAGTCCCAGGGCCAGCTCTCAGGGTTCTCTGTCTCCTTCCACACACGCCTCTCCCCGAGGCACATACCACCTTGTAAGGCACCACTTCATTCCCCTGTTGGTTTATGGCCTGCCTCCCCAGTCCCAGCCAAATTTAAGCTTAAGAATTTAAGGGCCAGGAACTTTAAAAGTCCCTGTGGTACATGATAAAGGAGCCCAGATGGTCCTGAGCCTGAGGCGAAACAGCTCTTCACCACAGGAGAAAGGCTACAGCCTGACTGACTGTTCATCCCTGTCCTGTAGTGTTGCTGCGAGATGGAACGGAGTTGACTGCAGCAGGGTTTTGAGTTTTGGTCACTGATATCCCCTCCAGCAACTGGACAATACTTGGCAGTCAATAAAAGGAGGAAGAGAACACTGAGGGGGTCCAAAAGAGGGGCAGGTCCATGGCATCTCATCCTTCGTTTCTTTGGGGTTGATTCTGATGTAAGACAAGTTCATTTAGGACAGGCAGAGCTGAACGTCCCGCAGGTGATTCCAATGCCTTTTCAGAAGCAGATGGGCAGGTCTGCCTTTCCAGGTGCCCTCCACAGGCTCAAACGACCAGCCCTTCTGCTAGCTGTCAAGTGCCTGGCCACTGGGGCCTTGTCTCAGGTGTGTATCGAGTATGTGCTGAGTGGAAATGAGTATGGTGAGGGAGCTTGAAAAGCGGGAGGAAGAGCCAGGTAGGGTGTGGGAAATAGCTGAGAGCAGAAAAAGCATCTTGAGAAAGCCCTGGAATTCACTGTGAAGATGCAGGGTGTGTGTGAGGGTGGGGAAGGAGGCTGCCCGAGCCTTCTCGCTCTTCAAGAAAACAGAAGTTATGTAGGCTTCAGGGGGTGACATGATCTGGTTTGGGGAATTTTTGGAAGGTCTCTGTGACTGTCCCAGGTGCTGAGGTCTGTGCAGTGGCTCTGTCCTCCAATGTTTCTCCATTCTTCTATCTGAGCTGAGACTCACGGCTGACAGCCAGTGCTGGAGGGCAGATTTTTCTAGTAACTTCCCCACATACCCGAACATGGCTGCTGAAAAGTGGCAGCACCTGCCCGTGGCACCCCTAAAGATGGCCTGGTCCCAGGGAAAACATATCTCCCTGTGCAGGGCGTAGCCTGGCCAAGGCATCAAGGAGCCTGCCAGTCTTACCTTCTACCAGAGGAACCTTACACACATCACTTCCCCTTTCTCGCTCTCTGACTGCCCCTCAATGATTCTGTCCTGGACAGAATCAGCTACTTTTTATGGGGGAACACCTCCTATGTGCTAGTCCCATGATAAAGTGCTCTCCACACATTACTGTTCATCATTCTGACAATCCCAGTGGGCCTCTTGTCCCTTCCCCTGACTACTCAGTTTACAAAAGAGGTCAAGGAGGCTCGGAGACGCTCACCAAAGCCAGCCAGTGAGCATGGATGTGGCTGGGTAGGTGGTGGTATTGGGGGTGCCTACCTCCATGGTGGCCACGGCTTGCTGACTGCCCCTGCGGGTGACCAGCATCTCCCGGGGGGCCTGGGGCCGTGCGGTAGCGCTTGCTGGGAACGGACACTCGTTCCTCTTCGGTGCTGGGGCCCAGGCCCCTGTGTGCAGGGCTGGAGTCTTCCTGGTCACTCTGCTCAAATTCTGGGATCTGGAACATACTCTGGGCTGTGGGGACAAGAGGGTGGGAGGTTAAGGCACACACAAGTGGTGCAAATCGGGAACGATAGAACACTCTCGTCCCAGGCTCCTTGGCAGCCCCGTTAGCCCCCAGCCCCACCGTGCCTCCCCGACTCATCCGTCTGCCAGGGACCCAGCCAGTGCACCAGGGACCTAAATCTCCCTCGGAGCACTGGTGCGGTGGGGCAGCCCTCGACCCTCGTGCAGGCCCCGTCCCAGGCCGTCTGCCCTGGGGTGACGGCGCACAGATCTCACCCCAAGCCCGATCTTGAGGCCCCAGAGCCGAGTCTGCCGCCGCCTGCTAGTTCTGAGGGCGCCCTGCCCTAGTTGCTTCGGTAACGGGAACTGTCACCGACGCGGGCCAATCAGCTCGTGAAATGTCATCAGGGCGGGCCGGGAGGCGGGGCCAGCGCGGGCCGGTCCCGCCTCCGCCGCGCAGCCCGCGCTCCCCGGACGCCCTCCTCCGGCGTCCGTACTCGAACTCCGGGTGCTCGGCTCCCGCATGCTCATGCCTGGGGCGTGGGGGAGCCGCGGAGGGATCCCCCCATTCGGAGCCTGGAGACTTGCTTCTCTCACAAGCCCTTCTGCTCCTCTGGGCTTAGTTTCCATCGCTGTAAAATGGGGCTAATGACACCTCCCTTAGGAACTAGTGCAAACTTTGTAAACAGAGTGGTGATTACTGTGGGTGCAAGCACTTGGCAAAGCCGGATGCAATTACTGTGGCTGTTGTTACGGTCCTGTCTGACTGGTATCCGGATCGGGAAACCCTGCTCCTTCCTCCCCCAGCGTGGAAAGCGCGCCAACCGCGGCTGGGCGCCACTCCCCGCGCCATCTCGGGAGCAGTCGAGATAAGACAGGGAGTCCCCACCTTGGCAAGGATGGCTGCTGAGGCGCAGAAGACATAGTGGGCCCTGTACGGGTGACCCACAGGACTCACGGGGGCTTCGCGCCTGGCAGGTGGCCGGCCAGGTGAGGGGGCACGACGGGTCAGTGCGCGGGACCAGTCGCCTACGGTGCCCCGAGGCTGGCGGGTTAAGGGGGGGCGGGCCCGGGGCGGGCCCGGAAGCCATCTTGGGTATGGGCGGAAGTTTCCTTCACAGACGAAGCGAGGGGAAGTCGTTGCCGCCCCCAATCGGGCGGCACGATCCCGCTAACGGGGAGAAGGGTGGGAGGTGGCGGCCCCCCAAACCAGCAAGAACCAGTGGTCCAGGCCATGGCCTCGCCGGGTCGCAGCCCGTGTCGGCGCGGCCCACGCGTCTCGCTCGCCCGCCACCTCCCGTAACCCCTGGTGCCCGCTAGCGGCGCAGCGCGCGCCAATTCTCGAACCACCCCACGCCGGGAGCGCTGCGGCGCTGCGGGGTCCCGGCTGACTCCTGCGCAATTGGCGTAGCGCTGGGCTCCCGCGCAGGCGCAGGAGGGGGCGGAGCCGCGGGAACCGGGGAGCCGGAGCCCCGGGTCCCGGCCACCGGAGCCGGCTCTCCCTACGAGGGTCTGAGGACCACGAGGCGACTCCCTTCCGTCCCCCGCGGCTAGAGAAAGGACGCGGGGGAGGGGAGAGTGGGTCGAAGCGCTCAGAATCCCGAGGAGACAGAGGCGCCTCCATTCGGATTACTGGGGGGGGGAAGAACCCCCCTTAGCTTGAGGAGGGGGAGAGCAGGGCGTTGGGACGCCCCCCTGCAGAGGCCGCTGCCCGGAGCGGACGGGCATCAGCCGGCTCTCCCCCTCCAGCCGACCCCAGGCCGAAGCCACCCACTAAGGCCAGAGACCCCTCTGCTGCATCCTCCAGCATCCTTTCCCCAACCTGGTCCAGGGGCAGCCCCGGGAGGAGATCCCGTTTGCCCTGGGGAGGCGAGGCTGTCTCCCACGCCCCTGAGCGAGGAGGCGGGACCCCACAAAGACGAGGATCCCTCTGGTGAGGGCAGAGGCCTGGCCAGCCACAACTTCTCACCGACACCCCCCCCCACCCCCAGGTCCCCATCGCTGTCCCAGCACCTGCAGTCCCCTCCCCGCCGTATTTATTTCCCTGGCCCCCGGCCAGCCCCTCCATCTCCATCTTCTCCGGGATTCAGGCCTCCCTCCCTGCTATGGAGAGCAACCTGTCTGGCCTGGTGCCTGCTGCCGGGCTGGTGCCTGCGCTGCCGCCCGCCGTGACCCTGGGGCTGACCGCGGCCTACACCACCCTGTATGCCCTGCTCTTCTTCTCCGTCTATGCCCAGCTCTGGCTGGTGCTTCTCTATGGGCACAAGCGCCTCAGCTACCAGACCGTTTTCCTGGCGCTCTGTCTGCTCTGGGCTGCCCTGCGGACCACCCTCTTCTCCTTCTACTTCCGAGACACCCCCAGGGCCAACCGCCTGGGACCCCTGCCCTTTTGGCTTCTGTACTGCTGTCCCGTCTGCCTGCAGTTCTTCACACTGACGCTTATGAATCTCTACTTTGCGCAGGTAACTGGGGTGACGAGTGGAGGGGGTGCCTGGGGGGGATCCCCAAGAGCTGCTACAATGGTGGGTGTTTCTGCCCCCAGGTGGTGTTTAAGGCCAAGGCGAAGCGTCGGCCAGAGATGAGTCGAGGCTTGTAAGTACTTGGGACTCTTGGGGGAGCTCCCCGAAGGCAGGGGCAGGGAGCAGCCTGGCATCCGTCCTTTCCCCCTTGGAAGGACTGAGGACAGCCCAGGGAATGTTGGTGAAAGCCCTCCGTATTGTGTGGTGCCGTCAGTTCTGTCCCTAGCTCAGGGTGGTATGGTGGAACACAACGCTTACTACCTGATCCTGGGCCGTCCCCCCAGGGAAGTTAAAGCACCTGGCACAGATGGCTCAGCAGAGGCGTTGCAGATGAGAAAGGCAACAATAATAGAAGCAGTCGTGATACTGCAAGGGGAGAGGGGACCAGTGTCAGCCAGGATGGAGGATGTTACAGAACCCCACTGCGCCCCTGGGCCCCCTGGGGGCTATGGTCCTCGTCATTGTAAAATGGTCCAGAGCTCATGAAGAGTTCTCTCTGCAACGTCTTCAATCTTTAGAACTATTCTGTCAGATCTGCCTTCATCCCATTTGAGAGATAAACCAAGGCCTGGTGAGGTGAAGGGACACATTCAAGGTCACAGCAGCTGGTTCCAGGCAAAGCTGGAACTCAGACCCCCCAATTTCTGACTCCCTGTCTGGGGTTGTGTTCTCTCTGCTGTATCACAGCCGTCAGTCATCTCCTTTGGGCCTCAGTTTCCTCGTCTGTCAAAAGTGGAGGAGCAGTATCCAGGCTGGGAGATCTGGGGTACTGATCAGCTCTTTTGGAGGCTGGGTGAGTGGTGAGCACCCAGGCTGACTTGGGCTGACTGTGCCGTGGCTGCAGGCTGGCTGTCCGAGGGGCCTTCGTGGGGGCTTCGCTGCTGTTTCTGCTGGTGAACGTGCTGTGTGCAGTGCTGTCCCGCCGGCGCCGCACGCAGCCCTGGGCCCTGCTCCTGGTACGCATCCTGGTGAGCGACTCCCTCTTCGTCATCTGTGCGCTGTCTCTGGCTGCCTGCCTCTGCCTCGTGGCCCGACGGGCCCCCTCCACTAGCATCTACCTGGAGGCCAAGGTAGGGTCGCTGGCTCTTGAGGCCCAAGTGGCTCTGGGAAGCTGTGTTTGTTGGGCAGCTGTCTTTAGGTGGAGACTGAAAACGGCCCCTTCCCTGAGGGTCTCCTGTTGTCATCTATGCCAGGGAACCAGCGTGTGCCAGGCTGCTGCAATGGGTGGCGCCATAGTCCTGCTCTATGCCAGCCGGGCCTGCTACAACCTGGCAGCCCTGGCCTTGGCCCCCCGGAGCCGGCTGGACGCCTTCGATTATGACTGGTACAACGTCTCCGACCAGGTGGGTATTCGGCAAATGGACTGCCTCCTTCGAATCATGATTCCTGGCCCCCCAGCCTGGGTCTGTCCCGGTGCCGTGTTGGCACAACTGAGGTCTGGTCCAAGCCTCTGCCTTCCTTCCCGCAGGCGGATCTGGTGAACGACCTGGGGAACAAGGGCTACCTGGTATTTGGCCTGATCCTTTTCGTTTGGGAACTGCTGCCCACCACCCTGTTGGTGGGCTTCTTCCGGGTGCACCGGCCCCCACAGGACCTGGTGAGGGCCCCCACCCTTCTCTTCTAGCCCAATGGGACAGGGTGGACCCTGGGACTTTCAGGGCTAGGCTGAGGGCTGAGCAGGTAGCTGATGGCGGCCACTCTGTCCCACAGAGCACCAGCCGCATCCTCAATGGTCAGGTCTTTGGCTCGCGGTCCTATTTCTTCGACCGGGCAGGGCACTGCGAGGACGAGGGCTGCACCTGGGAGCACAGTCGGGGGGAGAGTACCAGGTAAGATCCCCACCTGAGCCACAGGGACCTAAAGCAGGGTGCTGTCTGTCTATCTGTCTGAAGGTAGGCCTTCTTCTATGCCCCTCTACTCTGCCCAAGATGCAGTGTTTATAGGCTCAGGCCCTGGTCCTTGAGGTGGGGATTGAGAGCTCCTCCCAGCAGGCTCCGAATCGAAGCTGCGGTCCCTGCCCTGCTCTGTGAGCATGTTCCTGTCACTCCCCAGGACTGACCTGGTTTCTCTGCCCGCAGCATGTCCGGCAGCCTAGGCTCTGGCAGCTGGTACGGCGCCATCGGGCGTGAGCCGGGCTGGTGTGGGGGCAGCCAGACACGGACCACTCCTCTGCTCTTCTCCCAGGTGCTGGGACCAGGCGACCACCACCACAGCCTCTACTCCACCCCACAGACGTGATCTCCCACCCCCCTTAGGGTGCCTAGACCCTAGTTCCCCTGGTCCCAGGCCCCCGTGCCAAGTTCATCTGCCGCTTCTTGCCCAGGATCTGGGGGGCTGTGGTCACCTCCTCCCTCAGCTGGCTCCTTGGCTGCTCCTATCGTAGTGAGCTTATGCCACCCCCCTAGGGTGAGGGACATGGGCCTGGCTGCCAGATGCCACAGCACCCTGGCATGACCTGCCAACTCCGCTTCCACACTGGAGCCAGCTACCTCTCCTGCACCTGCCAGTCAATAAACAGTGTGTGTTTCCTGTGTCTGTTTATCTGTCTGTCCGTCGGTCTCCTTTGTGTCCCTCCAATCTCCATCCATTTGGTTGGCTCCCAGTCTTGACTTAAGGCCTACTAGACACTGGTCCTGAGTGTCCTGAGGCTGGGCTCTGGGCTGGACTGGGGCCATCTACTGCCACCAAGCCCGGTGAGCAGGGAGAGAGCCTGCTGTCTGCACTGGGGAGATACCACCTGGACATTTGTTCACTAAGCTCTGTTGGTCAATAACCCCACACACACTGTAGTCCCTTCTGTAGGAAGTTCCTGTGCTTTCTTCTAAGGTTGCCTCCTTCATGAAGCCCCATACTTAATGTCCTCTTGTCCTCCATTTGGGATTTGGCTGCCCCTGTTGCTTTCATTAGGCCAGGCCCTGCAGAGGTGTTGACACACAGTGACTGCTTGCTCACACCTATACTAAGGTGTGAGTTTGGCCAGGCGGGCAGGGTGCCCCCACTTCTTGAAGGAGTCCCCTTTCCTCTGCACCCTCAGCCTGTCATCCTACCAAGGGCGCTGGGGCCCTTTATCAGAGGGACTATCTCCTGCCCACATATCTGAGCACCCAAGTACCTACCTGTTCCCAGGACCTAGTACCAAGCCTCCTTGGCAGCCCTGAGGTCAACCAGAGGGGCCACTGGAGACCACCTCCAGAACCACTTGTGGAAATGGACATTGGGAAGAACATTATATTGTGTGCCAGGCTGTTTTGGGGCTATTTACAAATCCCATCCTCTGCACAAATCCCATCCTCTCCTTCACAGCAGCAGTTAGTTTGTTGGTTTTTTCATACCTGGTGAGGAACATCCCTTTTACTGGAAGAGGCTGGTGAGCTCTGAAGCCCAAACTTGAAACATGTAAGGAGGCTGAGCTCTGTGCAACAGGCCAGGGAGTATGGTCTGG